TTCGGTGCAATTAAAGTTTATATCCATTTTATAAGTATAAAGTGTATCAAATGCATTGTAATCAAAGTTTAGGCCTCCAGTTGATGACGTCACGAATAAGCTGTTCGGCCTTGTTATTACGGTGGTTACGGCTAGATGATTCTACACGTTATTCAGAAGCGACAAACATATCGATGAAAATATGCATGAAATCAAGGTTGGTACAGTATCAAATTTATTATAGTGATTTTCTTAACCGCGTAGGGCACAGATCGATTTACCCAGTGTTTTCACAAGCTTATTTTTCATTGGGGTAGATTATCACGAGATAGCGGGGTTAAATTGTTTTACAAAGGGGTAGATCTACCCCGAATAGGGTAGCTGTGGTAACACTGCCGCTATCACTTTTCTTCTAGCTAGCTCGCGCGTCACGAAAATCTCGCATGCGTCTCGCGGCCGTCATTAATTTTTTACTCCCAATGTAGTTTTACTTGAATAAAGACAAGGGAAAAGAATTTCTCTTAGTTACAATAAAAAAATGGCTAAAAATACTTAAGCAAAATTAAAAAATGTATTTCGAAATTCGCTCAGGAACCCATTTGTTAGTTTAAATGTCAAATATGACAGATGGTCAAAGGATATGTCAAATATGACTTCATGGAATCCAATTCAAAACAAAAATTATAGCCGAAGTCAAATTTTATTTGTTGCAATAAATAAAAAAAATCCCATATCATACGGACTTTATCCGAGACTGTGTATATATTAATCAATGTATACCCGGTGCTTGATATGTTAGTCTATGACATAAATTAGAATTGATTAACGTATTCAATTGTAACTTTTGATTTTTAAATGGCATCCTCGGTATTTTTTTACTTTATTCGATAGAAAATGATATTCTGAATAGAATGACGATCATATGTCAACTTTTGACATTCTCGCTTAATAAAAAATCGTATTTTAAATATCAATCTAATGTGCCATATGTTATAAACACTGATTTTTAATCAAGGGGCCTTGAAAAAATAGATTTGATCGTCTAATGTTTTTAGTATCTTGTCCCTGGCCGGTTAAAAGATGCCCATATCGTATTTTTAATTCTATCTGAATTTTTTCAAATGGAACGAGGGTGGCTCATTAGCATATTTGGAAAAAGCATTTTTTACGAATAATTTGATACCACACACTTGTGGGTGAGTACTATTGAGTCAAATTTTCGTTATGAACCACATTTTATAAATTCAAATAAACCATATGCGAAAATGTCAAAAGTTGACATATGATATGTCATTCTATTCAGAGTGTCATTTTCTATTGAATAAAGTAGAAAAATGTCTGAAGGTGCCATTTAAAAATCATAAGTTGTAGTCATTTCCGGTGAAACAGGAAGTGACAGTTGAACAATTGAAGTGAAACAATTGAACACGTCAATCAATCCTAATTTATGTCATATAAAAAGAATATCAAAAAAATCACACCAAATTTCTTTTTTTTTATCTGAAAAAATAGGAGTGAGCCACTTTTGAGACGCACCCGGTATATTAATTATTTTAAATAAGTGTCCATAAGTGTTAAATTTTGCGACATTATAACTTAAAAATGACTAAAGTTCCTTGTTTTAGTCACCACTGTTTTAATAACCGCACTAAACGTCCATGCACGGGTTGAATCAGATAGTTTCGCATTACTAACAACGTAATTTAAGGTAATAAAAGTTGAAAGCTATGATGTCGGCAGTAAATAATGTCACGTTATGTCGTTACAAAAAAACTTCCTCCCCTATCCCTAAAAATCATTACTCTGCTTTACCCTGATCCTTGAAAAACCCAGCGAACTAATTTAAATAAGAATTAATTACAAGCGGACTTTTACAAGAGCTAACGCATACGTTCGACATTAATTTTACAACCCTTTCTAAAGCCTCCCCAATTAAAAATTATCTTTAATTAGTAGCACATCATTACCTTTTGTCCCCAAATACATTAGTTACGAATAGACTAGTAATCGTTCTTTTCGGAGGTTGGCGTTTTTGGTCTGCTTTTTTATTCGTGTAATTAATTAGTATTTTATATACAGGGTAGTAAGAATCTAAGAAGTATTCGAGAAACTTCACCAGCATATTCTAGCGATAAAAATAGGTAAAAAAGTTCGTATTAATGTATACCCAAAAATGCTTCGTTTCGAAGATACAGGGTGTAGAACTTTCATTTTTATTCAGATTTTTTCAAAATAAATAATTTCTGAACTAATGTCAGCAATGTCATATTTGTCACCAATGTCATATTTGGAAGTACAAGATTGCTTGTAAAAGTTTTGGTAAACGGAGTTTTTTGGCTTTTTAATAACATAAGATCGCTTAATTTAACACATTAGATTGACGATTTAATATACCAAAAAGACTCTTTTGTGACAATTTTGTTACCAAAAAAAACTGAGAACTAGTGTGTTTTTTTCTGTATTTTCGTTTCTCTAAATGTAATTTTCTACCTATGTTGCCTTATTATCAAAATATTACGTTTTTAAATACCTACTAAAAAAATCCAATAAATCGAAAAATGCAGAATTTTCAATTTTTTCATGAAAAAAAAACTCATAGGCGTGTTCTTGGGCTCGAAATGGATCACCCTTAAAATATGGCAACTATTTAAGGCTCACCCTGTGCATAGGTTACTTAATGAACTACTTATGATATTCTTATTTTATTATTTTACCTATTTTTGCCTGCCTTGATTTACACTGCCATACCAATATGTTTTTTCGTTATTATCACCGTACTGACAAGATAAACCCCCAGACTTTGTTATAAAAACAAAGATAACCACAAATTCAAATGTATTAGACCCACAAATACCATTCTACACCTTCCATATACATATAAACATCAACCGGAAACCAATAAAGTCAAATCGAACCTTTTTTCTCACTTTTCCATTAGCTCTTTTCCGTTTTCCACGTGATAAAAACGTCAGTTGCCTAATTTATTGCAAAACAGCGACTCCGTTCGAATTTTAGTCCCTATGCAGGCTAGGGCCCCTTTCTTCGTACGTTTACGATAAATCCGGAAAGAAGATGTGACGTGGAAAATAGACGTTGATGTACGTTTCCGCAGAAAATAGAATAGAATAAGGCATACAGAAAGAAGGAAAAAACAAAAACCGTCTGTTGAAAAAAAAACCTTGAATTCGAAAACATCAGCTAAATTATCACGCGGTTGTCATTTTAATTCAAAAGTATATTGTATACTTTGTTCAGGCGATCGTTCAATGTCACGTGACATATTGTCGATCTCCCTCTTTCACTTGACAAACAGATGAAAGAAAGTTTAAGGAGCATCTCATTGTCTTGTCCCTGGCTGTAGTTTCTTGGCCAGGGAATTGCACCAACACGTATAATGATGCCGGATGGGACTAACCTGTTCATCATACCAGGCATCCTCTACTGTCTTTGGTCATGTATCGCTGGCAGAGGGCGTAGAGGGATCTTAGCTTAACCGCCCGAACCAAAGGGGACAACCTTACAAAAAACCTAAATCCTATGATGGCGGGACCAGGTCAAAGGGATGCGTGGCTAGATAGAAGACTAGCCTCTATTGGTTTCAACCTTGGGGCACCAGGGGGCAACCCATTGTTTTCTCGTCTCCCTTGTGCATGCGGGGCTCTGTAGAAGTGGACCCACTAACCCTGGCGGTGTAATTGACCTCGAATCCAAGGAGGTACTAGAGAAAGAGCGATATATCCTCTATTATAGATTCGGGACAATACCGGTATCAGGTTTAAGATAAAGCCGGTTCCGTACGATGTGTCACCTTCCAACACTTTCCAACGTTGAACACATGAACATTTGCCACATCGTGTAGGAGACAGTCTTGTGAGACACTCTTTTGTCAACGTCAACGTTCATCGTGTAGGACCGGCTTAAGTTAAAGAGGTGGAGAAAATTGAGACAGATGCTCTAGCCTCCACCTCACAGGTACCTCAGCCGGAGACAAGCTTCTCGACTGTAAAGGGCACGGAGGACTAAACCTCAACCGTGGACAGGTGTATACCCTCGTAAGATCGCGGTGAATAACCCCCCCCCCCCCTCTTCCTCATTCTACATTCAACATGGCATTTCTTAAATTACAGCTCATTATTTCTGACAATTATTGTCATTTGTTTTGAAGTTATGATTTTATTGACGGATATTGATCAATATAATTTTTGAGATTACGTTCATTTCTGCGCATTGTTTCTGGTAATTTTCATTTGATTTGAGGTTATAATTTTATTGAAGGTTATCATTCATTTTTCAATAAACAAAATTCATATTTTATAACTAAAATAGCTCGCCAGTTTATATATTGAAGATATGATTGATTGAACATCGTGAAGCATATTAATTTATTTAAAGGAGGAAGAGATGCTGATAAAGCACTCTTACCCGTGGATGTCAAATATGAAGTAGTAGTGTTCCTATACAGTACTAAATAAAGGCAAATATTATCAGGGCTGGTAGATATCGGTAAAAAACATATTTTCTCTTTACGTCCAAAATAACCGAGATATTTTACTATTTAAAATTTCCAAAAAAATGAGTTTTTGTTTACCTTTTGAGCACCGCTGGATCTTTTCTGGATTTTCTTTTTTGTAAATTTAATCTACTACCTATGTTACCATATTATGAAGATAATGGGCCTGATGAATAAAGAGAAGCAATTGCTTTTTCTATAGAACTATCTTTGTTGGATGTTTACAAATTGTATAAGTCTATTTCAAGAAATTTAAGTAAAAGCATTTGCTTAACTTTTATTCATAAGACCCATTATGTTTGTTTAATGAAAATTTTCAAATTATTTTCAACTAATTCCGAATTTACAAAATTTTTTTTCGCAAAAAATACTCATCCTGTTTCTTGGGTCGAAATATACCACCCCTAAAAATATTATCACTTATTTAAGATTCACCCTATATTGAGCCAAATGGATTGTGTTTAAATACAATTTGGCATTGTCAAATTATTGGTCATATTAGTTAACTCACCAATCATTTCCAGTTTTGGCTACGTTCTGTCGTTTTCGGCCAGTTTGATGTGGTTTTGGTTCTGCCACCATATTGACATCTGCAAGTAAAGATATAATTTAAATACATATTGCATCAAAAATATACTGACTTAGATGTCATTATTTATCCCATAAGAAGGTTGTAATTTATTTTATATTGTGTAAACATAATTTTTAGATGGTGTTTTGAGTACGAGTTAGAATTTTGAAAAATAGGTGTATTTAATTTAAATACGATCATTCTTAACCAAAAAATAAATAAAACAAGCGTATATTGAAAAGAGAATTAAAAAATAAACTATTTATTTTTGCACATCATTTATATTATACAAATCCCAAACCCAATGAAAAGAAAACTTAAAAACTAATGAGATGATGGTGTAGTTTAAAATTCAAGGAAATATATAATATTTTTTGGAAATATATTTGTGTATCTGGAAACATTCTATCCTTTTTTAATCTTTCTATAATTAGTGTTAATTTTTGAGAAGTTTTGTGTAATTTTTTAGAAAATGACGTCTAGAGATGGACCTTGCCAAAATTAAGATCGATTGTCATTTCCCAGCCGTCTTTGCCGCCGTTACTTACTTAATAAATAAAGTATTTTCAGTTAACGTCTACTTTTTGCTCTAAGGCTAAACTGGACGGGACCTGCTTTGTTTACGCTCAATGATGTTACACAATGATCCGTGCTGGCCACGATTCATTGTGATCCGATTCAATTCTCACGATTCTTTTTTACGGATCATCGTTCAAATCTTATGGATCCGTGCTGGCCACGATTCAATTGAACGAACCGTATTGTAAGCAATGAATCAATTCCCACGACCCTTTGAGCGCACGATCGCAAATGAACGATTCGTTCAATATTTGCCCACCTCTATTGTCTAATGTTACTTCGGCGATCTATCGGAAATCGGTGTTTTAAAGTAGATGGGCCGCTGTCTAGTATTTCTGATATTTTCTGAGAAAAAGTATAATAAATCAGTATTATTAACAAAATACACATTAAAACGAATAATTTAAATTATTAGATAGAGACGATTAATTTAAGAATCTCCGTAGTAGTTAGTTTTTGTATTAAATTTTTACTCCCAAAATCCACATAAATACGGTTCTGCGCCTTTTGGATTTATTTCATTTATTTTAAAACAAATTTATTTTATGAGCATATTTTTTTGTTATTAAAACCTACAATATCCCTTTTAAATAGTAGTCATAAGTTTAATAATAGATTTTAATTCGTTAATTCCTGTTGCCTGTGTTTGCTGAGGCAACAAGATTAAATCGATTTATTACTAATTTAAAAACGATTACGATGGCAATATTGGTATTCGCTTCGGCTTGGAAAAGCAACAACGCAAAACTGCATTTTAAATGGTGTGGTTCGAAAATAACTCCTCCATAAAGCTACATTAATGTTAGGAAATTTGTTGCATTTTCTCATAGTGTTTTATAGTATCAATTTATAAATGAATTTGGTTTTGATTTAATTTTTTTCTGACTAAACTTTTTGCAAGGAAAAGAATTGATATACAAATTTAAGATAAGGATTTTTGTTGTAAATAAAAATGATAATAAAGAATAAACGACTGCTGCGATTTATTTTCTTTTGAATTTTGTGTTCAGTAGTAAAATAACGATTTTTCGGTTAAATTTTCATTTGATACAAAAAATAAAAAAAATGCCTTATGTTAGATTAATAGATGTACAGAGGCGAAGAATTTGCTTTCATTGAACAAGGAATGCCCTAAAAAGACGTAGCAGAGATAGCAGGCGTTACCTAGGGTGTTGTATCGACAACATAAACGGAGAACTCTCAAGGACAGGCCCAGACAAAGTCGTTAAAAAGTCAGAATGACATGTATGTGTTATTGTATATGTTGTTACGGGATTTATATTCTCATAGATTTATTTTCTAATTTTATTTATTTTGGGCACACTGTTGTAATTTTAGAGACAATTCTTGAATTTAATTTATTGTTTTATCAAACCTCGAGCATTCACCATTTATTAAAATCTAAAAACAATTTGGTAAATAATATAATTTCCAGGCTAAAATATGTTTATTTACTGTTGCATTACACTTTTTCTTTTAACAACATAAAAAAGGATCTAATTTCACTGTAAATTTCTCTGTCTCGTACTGCTATATTTCTTCGAAGCTAAATACGATGCCTTTTATTTTAACAAGTTAAATTTGGTTTATATTCTCATATTTCACACTGATTCCTTGGAATGTACCATTATTATAAAAATACTATAGCTTTTTCCATGATTATAGTATGAATTTAACTCTATTTTGAATCGAACAAGTGTTGACTTCAGTGTGCTACACACACAATTCTTGAACCTGTTATCGACGCCTATGATCTTTATGATAGGCAGTCATTTTTACGCTGTGCTTGCACCCCGTGCCCGCTGATGTTTTCGAGTAGCGGAGTGGTAGGCTTTGGAAACAGTTGAATGTGGGAGATTGTTGTTTTCGGCCCGGAGAAGACATTGATTGTCAAGATAGTTAGAATTATATTTTAAATATCAATTTCTGTTAAATATATTAATCTCCCGATTACAAACCTCATAAACTAAAAGCAAATAAAACGTTTAGTAATTATTAATAGATACTTTTAAATAGATTACTTACGATGTGTGGCTGATATTTAGTCTCTTAAAGGCTTGCAAAATCGTAATTTTATTGAAATTAGCTTGAGTAATGTTTTGATAGCGATGTGTTTACAGCGGAATGATATTTGAGGTTATTTTGTAATTTCTTATTCTGCGACGTAAATATCGAGCATATTAGCATTAGTTACCGAATTAAGGTTTGATTGACAGTTATATGTGACATTTATATATGATGGTGACTTTTTGATTGTTTACATTGTATATTGGTTGCGTAATATTATTTTCTGTAGTACTTTCGATTTCATTCTTCGATTTCCGTTTACTGTCAATACTTTCGATTTATTGGTTTTTTATATTTAACATATGTAAGAACCACTTAATTCTGTGATCTCTATTTTTTTTTATTTTTTTTTATTACAAACAAACTATATATTATATATGGTATATAATACCATACTGAAGGACAGTATACTGGCATGAACGACAATGCCAATTATTCCGAACGACAGGAATAATAATCACACTGAACGACAGCGTGTTGGTATGAACGACAATACCAGTTATTCCGAACGACAGGAATAACAAAATCATACTGAACGACAGTATGTTGGCATGAACGACAATGCCAATTATTCCGAACAACAGGAATAATTCTCGACGCTGAACGACAGCAGCTTTAGACACGAACGACAGTGTCTATTATCTGAACGACAGATAAAAGGCCTAGGTATAAAACCCATCTTGTAATAAGTAATTAATTGCTCAGTAAAGAATAAACGAAATATATACCAAAAAATGATAATTAAATAAAATGTAAATAAAGGTAAATTAATTTGCCCGTGAGCACAGACTCACCTAATTTATAGAACGGCAAGCACACTCACAATAACTACAATACGATTTACCGTTAAGTATCGAATTCTGAACGAAAGACAGAACACCCGTATTCGGCCACGCACTCTGGAAAAGTAAAAAGAAGTATATTTTTCGAAAGCAGGCATCGCCGATGGGTCAGCCAGATGTTTTAGCAATGGTGCGTTTTATCCCTCGTTTCAGAATCAGGTACCTAGTTGGTAGGAATAAGAGTAAAAAAAAAGATATTCTTACACATATATCATGTTTTGCTCTTAGGGAGTATGTTATTTGGTTTATTGGCAACATTGATTTGTTGTCTTTTTTTTTACTGCCCTTTTTGTCCGGTGTTCATCCATGATTCTTTCTTCTAGAACGATCCGTCTTTGTGTGCAGACACGCTTTTGGGATCAAGCCTTGTGCTGATATATGTTCTATAGCAAATTCGGTTAAATAATTTATTAGTGAATAGTTACCGCAATTATTTGAACCGTAAGAATTTAAGAAAAGAGTTGATGAATGGCCACATGACATCTCAGGTATGTTTTACGCCATTTTGTAGTTTTTCTTGAAGGTAATTTTAAACTTCTTTTTCAGGCCATTTAACTTGCATTTAATTTGGATTTAATTTAATTTCATTTAATTTCATTTAATTTATCTGATTTTGCCATTTTTTAACATTTGGTTACGTTTTATTTGGTATGCTGCCGTTTCCTTTCGTCACTAATCTGCCAGCCAGTATCCAGTTTCTTCACCATGTGGTTCTGAGCTAACCATCACCTCATCACCTAGCTCATTTGATCCAGAAGACTTTCTGAGACCGACCAGACCGACCACTATGGGGTACTGAAGCCAGCTCACCGTCTGCCGTTTCCATAAGCAGTCAAAAGTCAGCAACCATCCGAGTCACCAACCAGCAAGATTCTGGAATGTCATGATAAGTACCCATTTCGTTTCATTTTACTGATTTTCATTCATTATTTCCCCCGAACAATTTTATTAGTTGTTTATTGAGTTTAATTATTTAATTTGCGTATTTAAGATAGTTATAGTTTAACTTCTTTAAATTTTACTTGCGGCTCGATCTTACTAGTAAGTATCGCGAGTACGTATTTCCGTTTCAGTAATATATAGCATTTGTTATATAACTATTTTGAGATTTATGATATCGATTTCATCGTTTCGAGTTTAGACATTTTGTTCAAGTTACCACTGCTGTACTGCTGACACTTTTCTAGCTGTACTGTTTTATAGTAAATTACTTTTAATTAATTTTAAATACATTTATTTGATATACTGCTATATTTCTATGAGTTCATTTGATATATTTGCAACTGATTTTCCTGTTTAAGTTATACATACAATATTTAGAGTTTTACATTTTACCGTAATTGCTGACAAACCTTATTCATTAAATGAGTTAAGTGATTTCTATTGTTTTATTTAGTATATTGTTTCCCACTTTCTTTCAGAAACATCACTTTTACTCTTAGGGTACATTTAGTTATAACCCCCCCTACTCTCCGTAGAAGCTACCGATTTGGGCATTGACCTGTTCGAGGAGTAAAAGTTAAATAATTAA